TGCAAATGTTAGTTTATATAGATGATATTATATTGGCTAATCCCACTCAGGAGGGATGTAAGAGGGATACAATCCAATTGTTAACCTTCCTGGCAGAACAGGGACACAAAGTGAGCAAAAAGAAACTTCAACTTTGGTAGAGCGAGGTCATTTACCTAGGACACACTATAACACAGGAGGGGCTAATGTTAAACTCATCCAGGAAAACTGCTAGATTTGAAGCGCCAAAACCGTTAAAACAAAAAACAAATGATCAGCTTTTTGTTAATGATAAAGTGCTGTAAAGTTTGCGTACTCCATTATGTACTGCATACGGGTAAATTAAGTGATCTTATCTATGGGAAGGCAATGGTAGCCCATGGTAAAGTAATTTGGAACTCTAAGGAGGCATACATACATCAGGGATGTTATCCAAATGGTAGAGAGTAACGAGGGATATGACATTGGTAGTGATTTAAAGATGATGAGGTTTTTTGGTGGGCTATTAGATATAACTGGGTTAATCATGAACATAGAGATTTTTATTCTTTGTTGCTAGACAGAAGACTTAGGTGACTTAAGAAATAGACTTGTCATGTCCAACAATTAGTCTTCAGGTCAAGCCCGGGAGAGCCTGGGTAGAACAGAGTTTGAACTAAACATGAGTGTTTTTATAAGATAAGAGATTGATTGATTGGATTACTAATTGATTCTGAACTGGATGAAAGTTGAATTTAGCTTCCATAAAAGACAAAGGAAGTGGGAGGAGCAATAAAGGAGCAAAAGATAATCTAAAAAATGAAAGGCATGGCAATAGGATGATAAATTACATAAGAAATGGTTTAGAAAGGTGGTAATATTGACACATGGGCAAATCATGTGTCAAAAAGGGGGAGTGATAGGATTAAATAATATTGATAGAATTAAATAAAAATACTTAAAAAGAAAAAACAACAATAGAAATTGAGAGCTGAGCATGTATGTGTGAAGATAGTTTATTAACCACACCCGTATGTCAGAGGTTTTGTGCCCCACAGGTGAACTAAAGGAGAAGGTGACCCACTCTATCACACCAGGAGACTGGGTGTGGATCCAGTCCCTAAAAGAAGAAAAACTGGAAGCAGGCCTGTTGGGAAGGGCCCTATCAAGTCCTATTAGATCAATCTGGGTGCATGTCACACACTGCAAAAAGGTAAACCCAGTTACACCTGATGAACAAACACAGAGTTAGGAGAAAGATCCGATCACCACTATGGTTCGGGGGTTGCCTCCTTAACGAAGATTCCCTTACCCTGTCTGATCATCCCTGTGTGAGTTCGATAGAAGGTAAAGCAATGGGTTGGCCTCTGGCATCTGACATGTTCTCAGGGCAAGGGTGGGGATTCACAGGTCTCCTGACGGTAGGTAGCTGTCTGATTGTGGGGGCCATAGTCCTAACACACACGGACCCTCCTGTTTCAGCCAAAAGTAGTAGTTAACCTAAAACAAGTTGATAAAATAATACCTGAGCACAGTCTATGAAGGCATAGGAGACAGCTAGACGTAGGGAAAGGGGAAGATTAGGGACTTTAGGGGAGGACATCACTATATGTGTGTCGCCGTGTACATCCTGGGACTATGTAGTTGCTCATATCGAGAGCGTGGGGGATATGTAAATCTCCATACACAGTTTGGGGACAGGTGTAGTGTTGTGAGGGTAGGGAATTACCAGAAATGGCAGTGCGACCCATAGAAGGGTAGGTACTGTCTGAAAGTCTGAAGTACGCAAAAACAGGTTTATCCCCATGCAAACCACCTGGGAATGTGGTGAAAGAGTCTTGTAGTAACTTGAACTATCAGTATCCCCGATAACAAACTCATTCCGACCTAGGTTGCCTACGTTTGAAGTCTCAGGGGATTCTAATCGTTTTTCTAGGACTAGTAAGATAGGATACAGAGTAGGGCATCTTAGCTCTGCTCCTACACAGAGAATATCACAACTGAAAGAGAACATGACTAATCTCTCCTATTTGTTGCAGACAGAGGATTGTAGGAACTAAAACCAGGCCTGTGCTGACATCTGATGGTTGTGTGGTGATAACTGATTGTGAACTCACCTACATACGCAAACAATCAAATGTGTCAGAGACTGGTGAGTTGTCAAATAGAAAGTAGGACCTCCTCCTGGGATCCTTTGATGAAAGGATCCTGTGATGGGATAGGAGTACCTCGAGAGGTTCCAGAACAATTCAAAGCTAGGAATCAGACCGCAGTTGAGTTTGAATCAAGTATTTTTTGTTGGTCAACAATTAATAAAAACTTAGATTGGATAAATTATATTTACTATAACCAGCAAAGATTTATAAACCACACTTGTGATGCAATAAAGGGATTAGATGAGCAGACAGCGGCAACTATCTTAATGACAAAGCAGAATAGAATAGCGTTAGATATGCTTTTGGCTGAGAGGGGCGGAGTTTGTGTTCTGTTTGGATCTATGTGCTGTATTTTCATCCTCAAACAATATAGCACCGGACGGGTCAGTGACAAAAGAGCTTCAGGGGAGTAACTACACTGACGAACAAACTGGCTGAGAACTCTGGTATTGATAGCTCCATAAACGGTTGGTTTGATAACATATTTGATAAATGGAAAACTATTGTTGTAACTATTCTGGGTGAAGTTATAGCTTATATGGGTATACTTGTTCTTTGTGGATGTTGTCTTATTTCCTGTGTCTGAGGTTTGGTGAGAAAGGAGATGGAGAAGGTGATTTCCCACAGATGGTGAGATAAGGTCCAATCCTGGACTCCAACCAAGGAATTGAGGATATGACCTACCAGGCTTGGTGGAGTGACACTAGAGGGTGTCTAAAGGGGGCCAAAATATACTTCTCTGTTTGTGTTTTATGTTTTAATAGTCTTATGTTTTGTGTTTTATTAATCCTGTGTTTTATGGTTTGAAGTTCTTTGATGACTGGTAACAATTTGCAAGTGGGGTGTAGATGGACTGAGCGTTTGCATTTTTTAGTATCATAATGGCCTATTAATAAAAGTGTGATTTTTTGTTTGTATTGTATTATAATGAATGACAATCTGTGTTTTCTTATTTTTTGAATCACACCTTATTAGGTGTGAAAAGGGGGACTATTGGGGATTTATTATTCTCTTAGATTGATGGGATGACTAACTTAGAAGGAGTGCAGTCTTGACTGGGCTAATGTAGGCTGTGACACCTGGCAAGGCTGTGATTGATGTGAAGAGAAGATAAGGATTGTGTCTTCAAATACAAGACTATAATAGTTCATTGTGATCTATGAGTCTTCCTTTGACATGGGAATGATGTCTAAGGGAGCTGGCTCTTCTCACTATGACAGGTTGTTATGATAATCTTGTGCCTGGATTAAGTGTGTAACAAATGGCGCCGAGGAGATGAGAGCAACCACTGCATCAACGGATTGGCTGAGATAGTGTAAACCACGCTCAAGTCTTTACTCTAATTGGCCAGCAGAGAAGTGGGAAACTTTCTGTCAGGGTATTTGGGTATTGTTTCTGAAAACAATGTGTTAGTTCTCTGGAGTGTCCTGCGAGACATATCAGAGAGCCCGTATATACGAAACATCATATTTACCATTGAAGGTTTTTGCATTAATTAAAATAACTAGTATACCTTAGAAGTCGTGTTGACCTCTTTTGTTCCTGATACCAGATTTGAATTGACGCGACATTGACACATGCCTTTGTCTTCACTTTACGATGTCTATTTGATTTCGAATTTTTGGACACCTTTAGGTATATATTTTTGTATTATTAATTTTTTGATAAAATATTGAATTTGACCTGTACTGCTATAGCCCATAGAAACGCATTGAATAACACATTCATAAACGGCAAAAAAGACAGTCAAAAAATGTATCATAAGGAATTAGGGTTTGAAGTGTCTGTTCTATATCAAGCTCAGTAAATATGTTTTTTCGGACACATATGTAACCCCTTTTGTTGGGACAATACTAGCACCATACTTCGGAGAAGACTATCACCAACCGTTCGAACGCTACAGACGCTTTCGTGAGAATTACGAATTTCGTGATGTCTTATTGTCTTGACAACCACCGCTGTAGCTCCGCCACCTTCCACAGCAGATGCGGAAGGCCGACTTAATTAATTACTGTAATTGCGGTAACGAACTGTTACTGCCACTTAGTGGACATGAGTTGCATGTTGTTTTGTTTGTGAACTACACGTGACCCACCTTGTCCAATCATCAATCGACAACCTTCCACACTGGGCGCGCGAATCGCAGTGACAGACTGCTGGTTCGCACGCCCAGTGTGGAAAGTTGTCGATTGATGATTGGACAAGGTGGGTCACGTGTAGTTCACAAACAAAACAACATGCAAGAGCAACATGGCTTCTGTGGGCAAACGAAAACGAGTAAGTAACGTAACGAACACACAAACTTCAAATAATGGAGCACGCTCGTACTCTGGTATTAAAACGGACCCACGTGCCGTTGGAGATGGTAAAATGGCTGGATTTGTCGAAGGATCCATACTTTGCATCACAATGCAAAACTTCCTGTAAGTCAACTCACCTCTGAAATGCTCCAAAACAAACAAGCTAGCTTCCTGTAGCTAACAAAAACCAGCTAGCTAACCATGATGAAGTGATAGCGATTTACCGAACGTTAGCTAGCTACGACTCTTATGTGCTAGCATACGTTAGTCTTGTGAAATGTTTGTAGTAAGCTGATCTACCTAGTTAGGTAATTTAGCTAGCTGTGAGAGATGTTGCTGTTTTGCAGAGACACCTACTTGGCATGAACAACCGAGTCAAAGATTATGGTAATTAATCTCTGACCAAGTCTTGTAGCTAGCTGAATGTGCTAGCTTGCTAGCAAACTTAAAAGTTGCTGAATTTGCATGTGTCCGACAGAGGTTGTTGTGTTGTAGCCGAGGCTACCTAGCTAACTGAATGTGTTAACTACTAGATAAAGTTGCTGCACTTAAGTTAAGCTGACACTCTTCACTTTCCTTCACACAGAACCTACGACCACTCCATAGTTCACCCTGGACCAAACCTGAACATGATTGTGGGAGCCAATGGAACTGGCAAGTCCAGTATTGTCTGTGCCATATGTCTGGGTCTGGCAGGAAAGACTGCCATCCTGGGCAGAGGGGACAAGGTAGTTGGCTATTTATTAACAAGTGTAACGTTACTAACGTTAGCTAGCTACAACTGGGATATGTTGTCAAGAGCTTCAAACTGTCCGTTGCATTCTTTTGGATTGTTGCATGAATGGCACTCAATATTGTACTTCATTTCTGTTTGTGTTGGGTTTTGTATTTGATTGTACAGAATTTAATTGATAACTTGTATTTAATGACTAGGTTGTGAAGCGTGGGTGCAACAAAGGATCGGTTGAGATTGAATTGTAAGTCTGTTATTGATTAATCAGAAATACCATCACACTGATTCCCATATGTCTCCAATAGTGGGTATAATAACATGGATGGAACCCCACCTGTGTTTTCAGGTACAAGGCCGGGGCGAACCTGGTGATAAACAGAGAGATCCACGTGGAGAATAACCAGTCAGTGTGGATGCTGAATGGGAGACACTCCAGCCAGAAGGCTGTGGAGGAGGAGGTGAAGGCTCTACAGATCCAAGTGAGCAACCTCTGCCAGTTCCTGCCACAGGTGAGTGTAAACTTGGAGGTAGCCCTTTTTTTTTTTTTTTTTATACTTGATTGCTAACGTCATACTCTTTCGTCATACTCTTTCAAATTCTCTGACCACCCTTTGCCTCCTGCCCTGTGACTTTGCAGGAGAAGGTGGGTGAGTTTGCCAAGATGACCAAGATTGAGCTGCTAGAGGCCACAGAGAAGTCAGTGGGACCTCCAGAGATGTACGAGTTCCACTGCGAGCTCAAGACCTTCCGCACCAAAGAGAGGGAACTGGAGGTGAGCACAGTTCTAATTCTCGCTCTATGGATGAATGGGGACTCATAGCTTCTTCTTTTATAAAGAAGCTTTTGCTGCAGTGTTGACTGCTCAGGGAGAGCAAGTTCAAAGGTACGCTGGTTTGTTTTTTGGTAGAATGTGTGCAAGGAGAAGGCCAGCGCCCTGGAGAAGTTCAAGCAGAGGAACGAACGGAACAAGCATGACGTGGAGCGCTACTACGAGAAGAAGAGACACCTGGATATGATTAAGATGCTGGAGAAGAAGAAACCCTGGGTGGTGAGTTTTCATAGCAAGATCATGTGACATACCTGGGTCATATTTATTAGTGCACACCAACGTAAACCGCTTACTCCAAACACTACAACGGTTTCCGTTGCAAAACATTTAGCTATGTTGTGCACCAATGAATACAACCCTGTAGTCATTCATAGATTGCTATAAGACACTGGACATGGTATAAGACACTGGACATGGGTAGATTATCCTCCATGTAAAAACAAATTGCATGTGTGGGTGTATTTATATGAATGTTATGTGAATATGTTAATAATCTTTGTCAACCCTTTCTGTCCTCTCTAGGAATATGAGACCGCCCGTAAGGAGCTGGAGGGGGTGAAGAAGGAGAGGGAGAACGCCAAGAAGCAGCTGAAAACTGTGAGGGAGTCCCAAGCCCCCACGCTGAAGAAGATCCAGCACATTGACAGCCAGCTGAGGCCCATCGAGAACCAAATGAAAGACAAGGTCAGACAGGCTCCCTGGGCTATGTAGCTGCGATGGATGGAGGGGGATGTCCATTTATTCCCCTTCGTTCCAGGTTCACGGCTTATTCATTTTGAAACAGGGCCCTGGGTAGGAGCATGGGTTATATTTACTTGGTGGGTGATACTGCACAGACATTTGGGAACCAGTGTGTTGTGTACCCCGTGGACTAGTGGTGATGTTTCCTTGTTGTGTTCCAGACAGCCAGAATCAGGGAGGCCTCTCAGAAGTGTAAACAGAAACGGGACCACCTGGACAGTAAGCACAGAGAGGTCTGGCACTGTTTTCTTTCTCTATTTCTGCTTTATTTTGATACCCTCTTGATACCAATGAGAAAGTATGACATCAAAGAAATGTAAAAAGCTTGATCCTCCCCTATCCCTCTAGATTGAGGACATCAAGCAGGCCTTCAGCCTGAAGCAGACGGAGGAGGCGGACCGGCAAAAGCGAATCAGCAACACCCGACGCATGATTGACGACCTGCGGGCAGAGCTGGCTAACCTGGGCGACATATCGGACGTGACACCGCGGATCGATGTGGTGAACACAGAGCAGAGGCGCATCCAGGAGGAGAAGGCCAAGATGGAGGGAGAGAAGGCCGACCTTCGCAGGGAGAAGGACAACCTGAACGGAGAGTGTAGACGTAAGAGACATGCACACACAGGCTCTGAGTAGTCCTGGGTCACAAACTTTCATGTCTTGGCACAGTGCCTTACTACACCATTTTAACCATGGTGAAGTGTTACACATACCATTAGGCTGGACAATAGAACGAGTCAAAATTCACCCAAGGCTAAAAAATGGCCAAAGAACGTTTGTTGAGCTGGAACACTAGCGCGAGGCCATAGCAAATGAATTGAAACTAACCTTCGCTGAGCCTCTTTTAACTGGAATGATCCTTAGAATTCAATTTTCCCTAAATGGCACCAGAAAATGTATACCTTTTCATTTTACCACTACAATCTGTTTTTAGGACAAAACTGAAAAATAACAACTTGTGTAGAAAGTAAACATCCGCATCTCGATGGTGCCAAGTGTGCTTATGTCTGCATAACAAGGAAGTAGGAAATAAATGGCAACTTCTGATTATTTCTGGTCTAGCGATCGATGACAATGGAGTACGCTGCCCAGCCTTAATTAGAAAGAGGAGATTATCCTGATTTAAAATGGTGTCCTACTTGAAAAACAATGGCAGTCTGAAAGTTCTAAGAACAGTCTTTTATTTAACCAGCTTACCATTTATCTACTACCATTTGCCTTTTTGTGTTTATCATTTTGTGGTTTGTAATCTAGCAGTTAAGCGTGTTGGGCAGTAACCGAAAGGTGGCTGGTTTGAATCCCCGAACGGACTAGGTGAAAAATCTGTCAATGTACCCTTGTGCAAGGCACTTAACCCTAGTTGCTCTGGATAAGAGCGTCTGCTAAATGACTAAAATGTAAACTAGGCCTCTGTGAAAGCTTGGCAATAACTTATTAACTTTTCAGTATTCACAGATCTATTCCTCTGATGACATGGCAGGCAGGCATGCAGACAGACTCTTCTGATGGCAGGCAGCACACTCAGCATAGCAAAGGCTCTTTTGAGAGCTACCAGATTTATACAAAAATGTTCTATGTTAAGGGTGTGTTACTTTGGCAGATAATGTCACCCATCTAAATAAATAGTAAAAAAAAAGATTTCAGTAAATGTATGGTGTTCATGTCAGTTTCATTGTTTGTTATGCTATACATTTATTTTATTTTGTATTTAACTATAGGAAAGTCAGTTAAGAACAAATTTTTATTTACAATGACGGCCTACCAAAAGGCCTCCTGCGGGGACAGGGGCTGGGATAAAAAATTATAATATATATATATATACTACCAGTCAAAAGTTTGGACACACCTACTCATTCAAGGATTTTTTTTTTTTTTTTTTTTTTTTTTACATTGTAGAATAATAGTGAAGACATCAAAACTATGAAATAATACATATGGAATCATGTAGTAACCAAAAAAGTGTTAAACAAATTAAAATATATTTTATATTTGAGATTCTTCAAATAGCCACCCTTTGCCTTGATGACAGCTTTGCACACTCTTAGCATTCTCTCAACCAGCTTAATGAGGTAGTTCCTGGAATGCATTTCAATTAACAGGTGTGCCTTCTTAAAAGTTAATTTGTGGAATTTATTTCCTTCTTAATGCTTTTGAGCCAATCAGTTGTGTTGTGACAAGGTAGGGGGGGTATACAGAAGATGGCCCTATTTGGTAAAAGATCAAGTCCATATTATGGCAAGAACAGTTCAAATAAGCAAAGATAAACAACAGTCCATCGTGTGTGTGTGTGTATATATATATATATATATATATATATATATATATATATATATATAAACTCAGCAAAAAAAGAAACGTCCCTTTTTCAGGACCCTGTCTTTCAAAGATAATTTGTAAAAATCCAAATAACTTCACAGATCTTCATTGTAAAGGGTTTAAACACTGTTTCCCATGCTTGTTCAATGAACCATAAACAATAAATGAACATGCACCTGTGGTCGTAAAGACACTAACAGCTTACAGACAGTAGGCAATTAAGGTCACAGTTATGAAAACTTAGGACACTATAGAGGCCTTTCTACTGACTCTGAAAAACACCAAAAGAAAGATGCCCAGGGTCCCTGCTCATCTGCGTGAATCTGCCAAAGGCATGCTGCAAGGAGGCATGAGGACTGCAGATGTGGCCAGGGCATTAAATTGCAATGTCCGTACTGTGAGACGCCTAACACAGCGCTACAGGGCGACAGGACGGACAGCTGATCGTTCTCGCAGTGGCAGACCACGTGTAACAGGATCGGTACATCCAAACATCACACCTGTGGGACAGGTACAGGATGGCAAGAACAACTGCCCAAGTTACACCAGGAACGCACAATCCCTCCATCAGTGCTCAGACTGCTGCAATAGGCTGAGAGAGGCTGGACTGAGTGCTTGTAGGCCTGTTGTAAGGCAGGTCCTCACCAGACATCACCGGCAACAACGTTGTCTATTGGCACAAACCCACCATCGTTGGACCAGACAGGACTGGCAAAAAGTGCTCTTCACTGACGAGTCGTGTTTTTGTCTCACCAGGGGTGATGGTCGGATTCGCATTTATCGTCGAAGGAATGAGCGTTACACCGAGGCCTGTACTCTGGAGCGGGATCGGTTTGGAGATGGAGGGTCCGTCATTTTTTACATTTTACATTTTAGTCATTTAGCAGACGCTCTTATCCAGAGCGACTTACAGGAGCAATTAGGGTTAAGTGCCTTGCTCAAGGGCACATTTATGTCATTTAGCAGACGCTCTTATCCAGAGCGACTTACAAATTGGTGCAATCACCCTATAGCCATGGTCTGGGGCGGTATGTCACAGCATCATCGGACTGCGCTTGTTGTCATTGCAGGCAATCTCAATGCTGTGCGTTACAGGGAAGGCATCCTCCCTCATATGGTACCCTTCCTACAGGCTCACCCTGACATGACCCTCCAGCATGACAATGCCACCAGCCATACTGCTCGTTCTGTGTGTGATTTCCTGCAAGACCGGAATGTCAGTGTTCTGCCATTGCCAGCAAAGAGCCCGGATCTCAATCCCATTGAGCACGTCTGGGACCTGTTGGATCGGAGGGTGAGGGCTAGGGCCATTCCCCCCAAAAATGTCCGGGAACTTGCAGGTGCCTTGGTGGAAGAGTGGAGTAACATCTCACAGCAAGAACTGGCAAATCTGGTGCAGTCCATGAGGAGGAGATGCAATGCAGTACTTAATGCAGCTGGTGGCCACACCAGATACTGACTGTTACTTTTGATTTTGACCCCCCCTTTGTTCAGGGATACATTATTCAATTTCTGTTAGTCACATGTCTGTGGAACTTGTTCAGTTTGTCTCAGTTGTTGAATCTTGTTCATACAAATATTTACACATGTTAAGTTTGCTGAAAATAAAAGCAGTTGACAGTGAGAGGACATATCTTGTTTTGCTGAGTTTATATATATGTTTGTGTATGTATGTACATTGAGGGGGAAAAAGTATTTGATCCCCTGCTGATTTTGTACGTTTGCCCACTGACAAAAAATGATCAGTCTATAATTTTAATGGTAGGTTTATTTGAACAGTGAGAGACAGAATAACAAAAACAAAATCCAGAAAAACGCATGTAAAAATTTTTATAAATTGATTTGCATTTTAATGGGGGAAATAAGTATTTGACCCCTCTGCAAAACATAACTTAGTACTTGGTGGCAAAACCCTTGTTGGCAATCACAGAGGTCAGATGTTTCTTGTAGTTTGCCACCAGGTTTGTACACATCTCAGGGGGGATTTTGTTCCACTCCTTTTTGCAGATCTTCTCCAAGTCATTAAGGTTTCGAGGCTGACCTTAATGTGCTCTTCTTGAGCCACTCCTTTGTTGCCTTTGGCCATGTGTTTTGGGTCATTGTCATGCTGGAATACCCATCCACGACCCATTTTCAATGCCCTGGCTGAGGGAAGGAGGTTCTCACCCAATATTTGACGGTACAATGTGATTTTCTGGATTCTTTTTCTCATTTTGTCTGTCATAGTTGACGTGTACCTATGATGAAAATTACAGGCCTCTCGCATCTTTTTAAGTGGGAGAACTTGCACAATTGGTGGCTGACTAAATACTTTTTCCCCCCACTGTATGTCATGCAATAAAATGCAAATTAATTACTTAAAAATCATACAATGTGATTTTGTGGATTTTTGTTTTAGATTCCATTTCTCACAGTTGAAGTGTACATATGATAAAAATTACAGACCTCTACATGCTTTGTAAGTAGGAAAACCTGCAAAATCGGCAGTGTATCAAATACTTGTTCTCCCAACTGTATGTGTGTATACACTACCGTTCAAAAGCTATTTTTTGCCACATTAAAATAACATAAAATTGATCAGAAATACAGTGTATACATTGTTAATGGTGTAAATGGCTATTGTAGCTGGAAATGGCTGATTTCTTAATGGAATATCTACAGTTGAAGTCGGAAGTTTACATACACCTTAGCCAAATCCATGTTAACTCAGTTTTTCACAATTCCTGACATTTAATCCAAGTACAAATTCTCTGTCTTAGGTCAGTTAGGATCACCACTTTTATTTTAAGAATGTGAAATGTCAGAATAATAGTAGAGAGAATGATTTATTTCAGCTTTTATTTCTTTCGTCACATTCCCAGTTGGTCAGATTTGTACATACACTCAATTAGTATTTGGTAGCATAGCCTTTAAA